TTCACTGAAAACAGAAAATTTTGCCATATTTTTGAAAACAATTTTTAACTGTTACAGTCCTTTTTCTAAGCTCTATTCAAGAAGGACTACAATGTGTACTTTCTGGTTCCTGCTGCTCCTTACAAGTGGATTATTTTGAGCCAAACTTCCCTGAGTCTGAATTGAGACATGGAAGCAGTTTCTCTTGTGTGAGGTTGTGCATGTAGGGCCGGGTCTTGGTTACCTAGGAGACAGTAATTCCAGGGAATAAAATCGCCCGGGAAAACATCAGCATGCAGTTTGATCTGCACACTTCATTTTGCCAGAAGCTTCTAGCTTCTCTTCATTATACCTTTCCCAGACTTTCTTACCAGTCACAACTTAGTAAATTGAACTCAGCTTCTGCCCTTGCTGCAGTCTTCTCTTCTTGATGGTGCTAATGAGCAGTGAAATGACCCAAAGTTGAGCAGCAGGAGGTGAAACATAGGGTCTGGCTAATTGACAAATGGGTACTTGCCTCCTGAATAATTGAGGAGTGACTTGTGGCGGGGAGAAGCAGTGGAGCTCGGGTGCTGTGTCAGGTCAGAGCTGTCCACCACGGAGACTGTGGTCCAAGTGTCCCTCCTGCCAGAAGGAGAGCAGGCTACCGGTGTGCAGAGACACAGGTCAGAACTCAAGGGAGGATGTCGTGGGCTTTCACAGACCTAGGACCCAAGTCAGCTCCTCCCTGGGCCTCACACTTGTGGCCTGAAGAGCTGTTCAGTATCACAAAGCAGCCTCCACTTGACTGAATTTGTGAGTTTTTGATGTAGTTGCTATTCTGTTATCTTCACTGAGGCTCAACCTCAGGAAAGTGTACACGTTATTGGGAGGAGGAAGACAGAGGGAAAATCAAAGTAATAAAATAAATCCTGATTCCAAATATAGAGTGTACATATTATAAAATAATGCACTTGCTCTCTCTTCAGTAAGTCATTCTGATAGCGTTTGTTGGTTCAAAGTAAATTTCTTAAATTCAAGACTTTTCTTTAAGTATAAACCCATTTAAAGTTCCTAAGGTAACCTATGCTTATTTTAAAAATAAACACTGGACTTAAAAATAAAATTACTGTTCACATAGTGCTCTAAGGATGATCTTTCTAAATGTAAATTACTAGAGAGGGAATCAGAGACCCGGGCAGTGACAACAGGGGTGAACTTTCTCCAGTTCCAGGGAAGATCAGAACTGAGATGTTAGAAAAACGCTACTGAACCATTCATGGCATCACCAGATGGCGTTTCAGACCCACCTGAAGAGGGAATTCAAAACACGGCTCACCCGATGCCTCTAATCACAGTCGCCAGTTGTCGGGGGAGCTGCTGGTGAAAATAAGAGCTGCTGCCTTCTGTTCAAAATGGCAGCGGGAAGGAGGAGGGGACTCCTGAAGAAGTGGAATGTGTGAAGGAGCCCGCAGGTGTTAGGTGGCCTTTGACCATGCACTTTTAGGTGTAAACATTAGAAAATGAAAACGCTCCTCAAATTTTGGACCATAGATTTCATACTTTCTGCTTTATGTGAACCTCGCTGGCTGTTTGCATATATTGAAACGTCCATGTAAAAGTAAAATTTAAATCAGTTTTGAGCTCTCCAGTTTTTGGTTTCATTAGCTGAAGGAGAAAGAAAAGGGAACCACCATCGACTCCGGGTCGACTGTTGGCTGCATGCTGTGCTGGACATTTTTTACAAATTATCCCACAGAATCCTCACGGTAAAAGTGGCTTACTTACCAGAGAGCAAAACATATCACAGAGCCCTGAAACTCAGACAGGATTCACACTGGAATAAACAGGTAGAGGACTGGCACAGAGCGGTTCAAAAACAGACCCACTTATGGTGAGAATTTAACATATAGCAAGAGGGATATTTTAGTGTGATGGGGAAAGTATTATTTATTTAATGAGTGATTAGTGGCAGAATTAACTATCCATCTGAAAGGAAATAAGGTTGTCTCCTTCTATATGCAAAAAAAATTGATCAAAAATTTAAATGTAAAAAATAAAACAATTCTTAGGATGAGCGATCAGTTAATGAGGCCATGTTTTTCAATTTAATACCCACAGAGAAAAGCTGGCCTCACTACTCTTTTGGGGACAAGTTCTCTCCTAAGCTACAGCCAGGGGTATCATGAAGGCAGGTTTACCCCTCAGATGCTGTAGGAACCTAAGTGAGCAGGGGCACCGGCTGCGAGAGTGACCACAATGTTCCTCCTAAAAGGTTTGAGAAGCCTGTGCCCTGTTGTAGGAAGCCCCCAGCAAAGCCCCGAACACAATCCCTCCTTGGGTCCCCAGAGCATACCACAGTGCCTGCAAGCCTCAGGGTCTTTGCACATCCTGTTCTCTCTGTCTGGAACATCTGCCCCTCTCTTTTTTAAAACCTGAAACCTGCAACTAACCTTTAAAACTCAGCTCAAATTTCGACTCCTCCAGGAAGCCTCTCTTTCCACTTCCCTGGGATGGGTTAGATGCAGCTCATCCATGTTCCTTTATGCTACATAGAGAACATGTCTCAACTTATTCCCCTAACACAAAGTTTTCACTCAGTTTTGAATTCCTTAAAGAATAGGATTTCATCCCATTATCCCTGTATCCTCAGTCCTATGGCAGGTGCACAGTGTGTCAGGAAATACGCTCTTGCCACAGAACATGACACAGTATTTTCTCCATCACCTTCTTGAATGTCAGTGCACACTTTTGCCTTATGTCGTATTGGCTCAATATGCTTTGCTAAAGTTTTACAGTGTTTGGAAAGCTTTTCCAGGCGGAACAGCAGTTTCAGAGCATTGATGTGTTACCCAGGGGTGCTATTGACTTTTATACTGCAAATCCACAAAATGTGCCTGCATTCAGGGATTTCACACCCTGTTTGTGTTTAAATAATAGAAAAAGAGCGGATACTCAGAAGAGGCCCAACAAGCCACTGCATCACGTTGATTCTTAAAATGTTTCTTGAGTTCATTTCTTTCTTCTCGCTTGATTCTTCCCTGGACAGTTGCGTTCCTGGAGTTGCGCCCAGACTTGCGGGGGGCTACTCTCTCGGCGCTCCCTTCTTAAATGACTACCCCTCTCCTCTTAGCTCTCCTGACCCACTTCTGCTCCCCTCCACGCTGTCACAAACTGCCGCTAAATTCATTTTTTTCCAAAATATATCTGTGAGGTATCTTCCCTCCCCGCTGCACCCCGCCATGCTCAAAATCGACACCAGCTGTACATCCACTGGGTCAATTGTGACCCTTCCCGGGTCTGTTCCGGCCTCCAGAGTGCCCTCTCCACTCTCCCAGTGACCTCACCCAGGCCCTCTCTCTGCTCCATTGGTCCCATCTTCTCAATACTCGACCGTGCTCAGGCCACCTCCTTGACCTGCCATCTTCCCCACAGATTCCCTAACTCATTCATTCACTCCTTCACTCAACAACTGCATTTCAAGTATCTATATGTGAGCTAAAATACAGGCTCTTTCTCTTCCCTCTACACCTAAACAAATAATTCTTAAGTATCACAACTTTCTCTGATAAGTCTTCCTTCAATGATCCGCCTTACAATGGCTCCTCCTTTTCTGAAATTCTTCTCATTTTACTAAATCTGGTGCAGTCTTATATCTCCAGAGATACATCTTCCATTAAGAGACATTAAGCCCATGAAATGGCTATGCTTTTCATTACAGACATTTTTTCAACTCCTGATACCGTACTCAGAGCACAGTATTAATAAATAAATATTTGGTGGTCAATTGACATGAATGTTAAATCAGGAGCTGCCAGTGGGACGTCACGAGGCCTCAGTGTTACATCTGCTGAGCTTCGTTCCTTGCCAGTAGTTTATTTTAATGGCAGATCTGCCCTGCTGTCTTCTATAGCGAGATCCGACACAGCATCTAACTGGAGTCCACTTTACCCCATTCTGACCTTTCCTGTCATAGACTGTGGAGACAGTGAACTGTGCATAGACAGCATTTTATGGTGTCCCTGTCTTCTGCCTGGAATGCAGCTCTGGCCACATTGGACAGAGCAAAGAAATCACAGATGGGGGTTGCAAAGTTATGTGCCTATAATCGGAGGAGCTGTCATCTTTACCGCTCCTCTCTTATCAGCCCCTCTGTTGAGTTGAGTAGAATTCTCCTGCTGTGCAGTTTCCCATGTATAAATTATTCATACCTTGTGGAAATATTTGGTGCACAAATGCACTGGCACATATTCACCCATCCGGCAATGTGTTCTTTGACTTAAAGATGACATGTAGACAGGTGGCTTGGTTTCAGGGCCCTGCACCAAAACTTCTACTTGGATGATCTTGGCCAAGTCACATCTATCAAAGAGATATACAAAGATTCCTTCCCTACAAAATTGCGGTGAGGATCATACAAGGTAACATAAAAACGCTTTGTGGTCTCCAAGTGTAAGACGTGTCAGTTACATGAGTGAAGGCTCTGTGTCCCTGAAAAACACCCTAAAAGTTTAGATCAACATGGACAGCAACTGCACCCCAGGACTGGACAACCGTGAGGGCAGCCCCCTAGGTATCACGCTGTCCTCCTGCGATACCAACTCCTCTCCTCTTACTGCTTGATCAGATTAAATCTTGCAGTTACAAGGAGAACCCAGACTATTTATAGGTATTTACCTTCTTGCAAACTTAACAGCAATCTGTTATATTCTTGGTACAAAGTGCAACTCTGCGTCAACCCAGATGTGTCCTAATCAACCCTTTAAAAGAGAGTATATAGGTTGCACTCAAGCTTCACCCAAGTCTGTCCGGTTGCAGACAGCAGGGGTCCCCTGATGAAGCGTTCTCTGCAAGGTCAAGGTCTGGTTTATTATTTTTAATCACACATTTGGAGTGCCTGACGCTTCCCTCCCACGCCCCCTTGTAGAGGGCTTGCCTTCACAGAGGGAAACCAGATTAAAACACTGTCACTAAAATGCCGGCACACTGCTGGCCTTTGCACGCAGGAGAAGCACACTGACCACCTGCTAATCTATCCCCAGATGGAGGTGGACGCCGAGGAGAAGCGTCATCGCACACGGTCCAAAGGGGTTCGAGGTACGTCCGCGCCCCCCTGAGTCCCTGGAGGCCCCGCTCAGGGTCACCTTCGTCCTGCAAAAGCTGTTTGCATGGTTCATTCCGACCCCGCCTTGACACCGTCCTCTAGGGAAGGTTCTGTGGAAAAGGGGTAATTGTGATAGATGATAAATTTTTATCTATTTCCCATCTCTCTGCAGTTCCCGTGGAACCAGCCATACAAGAGCTGTTCAGGTTAGTGCTCTGCGGGTAAAACGTATCCCCATTAGCAATTTAGAAAATTCATGCCTCTTAATGAGTAGACTGTACTTTCGAGTTCATCGGCAGCTGCTCATGCCCTGCTGCACTGATGAAATTAATTCCCCTGAGACTTGCTAATAAAAAGCATCCCCTAAGTTTCCCCTCCTTTCGGTGTTTTGGTTTCTCCCTTCTGCTGTGTTGCCCTGCTCCCTCTGACGCCACAGAAGCTTTGGTCTGACCCGCCTGCAGCCTGCAGCACCTGTGTAACTGACTCTTTCCTGTTGCAGCTGTCCCACTCCTGGCTGTGACGGCAGTGGTCACGTTAGTGGCAAATATGCAAGACACAGAAGGTAATGTCTGCGTTTTTTCACAATGTGCTAACACGACTCATATAGGGACCCAAAACCAAACGATGGAAATGAGTGGGTGGTGCTCTTGAGGACAGTGAGTGTGGTACTTTCCTTTTCTCCTCTGACCTGAACTCTGCCTTTGGTCTCTTGCACGGGTTCTCAAAGCATAAGCCTTTCTAACCATCTCATGGGGCAGAATTTAAGATAATACGTAAGATGACATAAATTAGGAGCAGCCTGAAACTCATTTTCCCATGTGCATGCGGCGGCTCACTAAGAACCTCCCACTGTCCCGTTGAGAAGGCTCGTTTCTCCTTCCCCGTTTTCTCATTCTGGTGGCTGCAGGACGGTAAATCACGGAGGCTAAATTAAAGTGTGACCTTCCTGATCTTTCTGTAGGAACTGGGCTTCCAGAATTTAACAGTTTGTCCTGGGAAACAAAGTCCAAGCCTGGCACCTGGGCAGCTGCAGGGGGAGGTTACAGTGGGAGGTGAACGTCCAGGACAGATCACGCTAATGAGACTTTGGGGCTTAAATGATCATATTATTCTCGTAAATACTGGGATTTAGGTCCGTCAGAGAGACGAGTATGGAGACCATCTAGAAGATAAGGTAGCCAGGTAATTATTGCTAAAAATGGATCACAGCAGAGTGATATCACACACACCCAAGGCTGGGAGTCACGCAGAAACCAGCCCTGAGATTTACTTTTCCATAAGGATTCTCTCTTCTGTGACATTAATTCAGCTTTGCTTTCCAATGGAAGGTTTCAGTTATGATGAGTTAGAAATGCTTACAGGCTATAATAAATTTCTAGCTAATTTTTCACAAATTGGATTGCTAGGACTAAGGTCATTCAGCCTAACAAACCGTCAGGAGACGGGCCCACGCAATCAACGCTCAGAGGCTTGCAGCACCTCAGGGTGACCTTCCCGCACCGCCTTTCATTTTATTTCCTTTTCAGCTGAACGTTAATTTATGGGTGAAATCAAGCAATTATTTTGATTGTCCTTTAGTAAAATCAAGGGAAAAATTACAAATTACTCCCCAAATCCCTATGCCAGCATTTAAGGAGGCCGGGAATTTTTAATAAGCATCCGTGATGAGACGGTTATCAGACTTCTGTTCTATACCAAAGGAATGACGGGTCGTTTTTTAAGGGAATTTTGTGATTTAGACTATTAAATTTAATTAATGATATTATTATTGTTATTGTATGAGAGAGTAAATTGTTGAATATGTAATTTAAATAAGTAGTTCATTTAAAGTATTTATGTTATTTTATGAAGGAGTATATATGTAAATTCTTGATCTAAAAGTTTTCAAAAACTGCATTGTTCATATTTTCAATGGAAAACAAGTTAGTAAACCGTGAGTGAAATCTGATTTTTTTCCCTATCTGTCTCATGATTAGTCAATAGTTAAACTTCATCATTCTGTTACTAAAAGAAATGATTAAATTTGGCTAAAAAGTTTTAATTAGGTGTCAGCTGAATGCAATTTCATAACCACAGTTTTACAGTAAAAATCATGAAGTTTCCAAAGAATTATTTTAAACATTTATATTCTTACCCAAGGTGCATTCCCTCACGCTGTGGACCGAGGTGTCCAAGGTGGTGTGTGTGCACGCCTGTCTGTGAGGTCTCCTTCCCTGCTTAAAAAATGGTACTCAGACTCAGGCTGGGAAAGATTGAAGACCAGGCTCCATCCTCCTCTGAGACATGATGCTGTTGTAAGCACAGAACACCCTGAATCTTACAGGAGCCAAGTAGATGGAATTTTAGAGAGGATTCACAGAAACATCCAAATCGAAAAGTTTTTCAACAAATTTTTAAATTTAACTTAAAATGTCATGATTTTTACCAGGAGTCATGTTGTGTGTAATTATTAGAATTCCTAACATTTAAGTAGAATAGCCAATGTGACAGAGTGGAAGGAGAACTACTGCCCGCACAGAGCTTCAGGGTCTAGTTTCCCCTTCACCACGAACAGGCCAAGGGGCTTTGGACAAATTATTTCGCATTTGTGCGCTTCTGTTTCCTCAGTTTAAAAAAGAGTGAGTTTCGGACTTTGTTATGTAAAGCGATTACCATTCAAAACTTATGTCACCGGATGAGCCTCCTCTCAGTGATCTCACTGAGGAAATAAGTGAGGCTTTCTGAGTTTTGTGTTTTGATGTCCATATGTTATCAGAATTTTTAACCAAGGGATCACATTCGAACTTCTTACACTGACAAAGTGCTCTTTGTAGTAGACAAGACTCATGTAGACATTAACATCTTTTGACTGTTGTTATTTCAAATCTGTAAGATTTCAACTATATCTGGCTTTGTTTCTTTTTCTGGTTTTAAAAGATTTACTGGGGCCGGCCCAGTGGTGCAGTGGTTAAGTGCGCACACTCCGATGCTGCGGCCCGGGGTTCCCCAGTTCGGATCCCGGGCGCGCGCCGACACACCGCTTGTCAAGCCGTGCTGTGGTGGCGTCCCGTATAAAGTGGAGAAAGATGGGCATGGATGTTAGCCCAGGGCCAGTCTTCCTCGGCAAAAAAAGAGGAGGATTGGCAGATGTTAGCACAGGGCTGGTCTTCCTCACAAAAAAAAAAAAAAAAGATTTACTGCTGTAAAGGTTTCTCCCCTCCAACAGCTATTCCTGCGCATAAATACCTGTGCGCGCCCCACCGACGGGACCGTGGCCTTGACCTCTGCTGTCCATCCTGCTGGGCCCCAGGGTCCATCCCGCCTCTCCAAACACGACCAGAGTGGCAGCCTCGGTGTGGGTTTTGATGAAATTGCCCGTCCTTTTGTTCTTTTAACAATAATTTTTCCAATGAATGTATTCCTGTTAGGGCTACAATTGCATTTTATTCATATATGGCATCAGTTCATAGCCGAGTAAAAAGACATTATTTTAGTGTGTTGAAGTATCTATTTATTTGAACATGCAAAAAATAATTTGAGGCAGGTGTGGGGAATCGACAATGTAAAAAGTCCTGGGAAATTTGATACCAAGTGATAAGATGGTGCCTCCCAGTTAATCTTTATTTTTAACATAAGAACATTTCTCGAGAAATCGAATGTTAATGACAATTTCAGAGTGGTGGCCCTTGATGGCTGCACGCTGCTTCAGTGCCTTTGGCTTTCCATGGCAGCTGCTGACACCATGGCTTCTTTGTTTATTATTTTCAGTACGATAGAGGTAGGGGTGTGGGTTTGTGAGAAATCAGGAAGAGCAGACAGAAGAGAATCAACCACCAGTCATAGCTGAGAAAGGAGACAGTAATTTGAAAAGGAATTCACAACTTCAGATCTTGATTAAAACAGGGGGGTTATCATACTTATTTTATTGGATGGTCTGCCTTACTGCAAAAATTGTGTCCTTGAACCAGAGATAATCAATTCATGGGCATTTATGTGTGCTGATAGTTCATAAACAATTTGAGGAGCTGATAAACACATGTACAACTGCACAGTTAAAAGTTAAAGAGATAAATTAGGAAAAACATAAAAGAAATAGAAACAATTTTACCAGAAACCCGGGATATATCAGGGTTGCTATAGTTTTACATTTAGTTCTGAGTCTCCTGGCAGCCAAGGCAAAAACAAGAAAGATAAATGAGGGAATTCCCATTATCTGATACAAGTGTGACACCAACTCCTCAGAGAAACTTACTCTCTTGGTGCCAAAAATAAACGTGTTTGAGTTCCCATACACTGACTAGCAGGGATCCGAGCTCAGTCAACATTTCTGTGCCCCAATCCATACACCAGGGCCAGACCTCTCATGCCGCTAACCAATATAACAGACATTTATCTTTAGACATCATTAGTATCTGGACACGTGAATCTGACTTTTATTTTTCCCACCTGAGGCTTTATATTATTAGCATATAAGTACGACAAAAACACCATGGAATTTGCAGTCAGTGCCAGAAGTAATTCTCCTATTAGAAAACAAAATACTAACTCAGTCTTTTCTGCACATAGCAAATCTGACCTCTTCCTTTTGACTCTCATTATTATATAGCTGTGCACATGGCTCAGCTACTCTGAGTGCACACGACTTTTCTTAGTGATACTTAGAGTGGCTAGAGACATGGATGTATCTCCAACATAGGGTCCAATCACAGACCTTCCTTTGCAGATGCAAAATCTAACTTCAATCATCGTAAGTGAGTTTTCCAAAGTTTAGTTTTCAGATGGCCAAGTTCAGGGAGGGGAGCTCCCTGGATCACCTCCTCCCCAGTGTGTGAACAGACTTGTGATCTGTAAGCATTTAAAACTCCATGGGTGAAAAACAAGTGCTTTCCCACCTGCCTGCAGCCCTTTTTATGGTGAATGGGTGGTAAAAAAAAAAAGGAATTTTTGGAAGCCACAAACACAAAAATGTAGGAAGTTCCTGACCTGCCGGTTTATTGGCAGGAAGGCTCCCGGCAAGGCGTGAAGTACAGAGATGCAGCCCAAAGCCTGCGGCTAGTGTGAGCGACACCACATCAAGGGCGGGCGTCTGCGGCTGCCAAGCTCCTGGAACACAGACCCCGGAGCTGCAGGGACCGTCAGGGGCTGGGACTTGGGCCCTCAGCACTTTCCGGTGGCTCCCAAACCGAACACTGACATCTTAGGAAGGGTGGAAACATGGTGAAAAGAAGCCACGCCTGGCACTCTTTCTGTGTAATTGTTTTGGTATGATTCAACTACGGGACGAAGAGATGTCATTATTAATCCAGAATATTCCACGAACTGATAGTAAGATAGGAGCTAAAACGCTGAATGTCAAAGCATTTCTTCAAAAATTTGCTTTTGAACATTTGACTAAGATTGGAAATTCTAGTGCCTTATATTCACAGTTTGTTTTTTTCTCCCCATGTTGATATAAAATATTGTTTGTGTTGAAGACAAGGTGCAAATTCATGTTTCAAAAGGGGTATATCTATAGAGACTAAATTTATGGCCAATTTATTGTTGTTAAAGTTTTTTTAATTTTCCCAATACAAATTAGAAATA